CTTCCCCGGCAGAGCATCTGGTGGGTTCGAACCGTGCGCCTCTGGGATTGTAGTTGCAGTTCCTTGCCACTAGGCCACCAGAGCTCCCCCGTCATTGTTTATTAAAATGACAATCTTCGCCCCTTTCTCCAACTCTATTTGATCTATATGCCAAACAAATTATATGAGACACCAGACTCTTTGAAGAGGAATGTAGTTTCAGGTTTGGTGGAAGACTTCTCAACAACACCTGTGTTATGCAGATGACACAGACTTGATTGCTAAAACTGGGAAGGACGTGAGGCGCTTGCTGCAGAAGGTCAAAGACTACGGTTTTCAATATGAGTTGCATCTAAACATTAAGAAAACAAAAATCCTTGCCACTAGGCCATTAGGCCTAGATGGAGAATAGAATGAAGTTGTCAACAGTTTCATTTTACTTGGATCCACAATCAATACAATCAACACTCAGGAAATACAAACCTGGTCATTACATTTCTGTCCCGGAGCCCTCCAGAGAGCTGAACAATAAAGACATCATTTCAAAGATTGAGGTGCACCTGATCCAACTCACACCATTTCCAGTGGTTTGTTATGCATTTGAAAGTTGGACAATGACTAAGGTTTGCAAAAGAAGAATAGATGTCTTTGAGTTGTGGTGCCAGTAGAGAAAAATACTGAATATCTCACGAAGTGACAAAAGAACAAACAAATATATGTTGGAGAGGGTGCAACCAGGGTGCCCCTTGGAGGCGAGAGTGGTCTCACGTACTTCAGGGATGTTGTGAGGAAAAGCTCTTCCTTGGAGAGGGTCATCATGCTTGGAAAGGTGAAGGGTCAGCACAGGAGAGGATGACCATCAGCGAGATAGATTGACATGGTGACTGTAACAGTGAGTTCAAGTTTATTGGGGTTGATAAGAATGACACGGGATAAGGCCAAGATCAGATCTGTTGTTTATAGGGTCGCTATGAATCACAGTCAACTCGACGACACCTGACAACAGTGATTGATATGTGGACCTAGTTTTAGACTCTGTTCTTTTACAGACTCTTTATTTTTGTAGATGCTTTATTCTTATGCTTTGGGCAAGTGGGTGTATTGGTTTGGGCAGTCCACTGTCGAGTACCTCTCTAAAATACCGAAGAGCAATGATGCCAGTTTGAAGACTAAGGGTCACCTGATTCAGGCCATGGTCTTTTCAATCACTTGCTCTGCATGTGAAAGCTGGGCAGTGAATAAGGATGGCAGAAGAAGAATTGATGCCCTTGAACTGTGGTCTTGTAAAACAGTACTGAATTTCCCATAAACTGCTAAAAGAATGTCCAGATATGTCTTGGGAAAAGTACAGCCAGAATTCTCCTTGGAAGCAAAGATGGAGAAACTTCATGTCTCATATTTTGGACATATTTCCAGGAGAAACTGTTCCTTGGAAAGGGACGTCATGCTTGGAAAGGTGGAGGGTCAGTGAAAGAGGTGGAAACCCCCAATAAGAGGGATTCTCATGGTGACAACAGCTTGGGCTTAAGTGTATCCGAGATGGTGAGGTGGGCACATAGCAGGGCAGGAGTCAGACCTGTTGTTCATAGGACCGCTGGGAGTCATGCCCACTTGATGACACCTAACTACAACAACGTAGCATTGGCATAAAGGAGCCGTATAGTTAACTGAAGGGTCTCTATCTCAAAACCACCGTGCATCTGTCCTGTTGGAAGAGATTGCCCATCCTTTTCCTGCAGAGTAGCAGGTGGGTTACAGTGCAATTTCTTATCATTAGGCCACCAGCCCTCTCTTATATAAGTATAAATGTATATATTTTTTT